ATTCCATAAAAAGTGACAAAAACATTAGTGTCCGTTGTGCGTGGGAAGAAAACTTCTTTTTACAGCGAAAAAACCCCTAAACTTCCGAGCAAGCAGCGAGTAGCTACGACGTAATGGGAAACTCACAGAGAAACTCGCGGATTCTTCCACTGACCGCGGCACACCTGCACCAGGGTAACCCTCCGCCTACCGCACTCCGGCTTTACAGGTGAAAATAGAGCAACAGGACCGCTAGTCTTTGACTTTATTTATTTTCTGCTGTGTTTTACTTGCATCTATTTGAAAGACTGAGTGTAAACACACACAAAAATATTTTATTTTATGTGCTGGAATGTGCAGAAAATAGGTTTAAATATTAAACTAATTTCTTCCAGTCAGAGAATGGTGCAGATAATTAAATCTTTGCTTGATGCATAAAGTTAAAAGATTAAAACTAATAAAACAAGTTTTAAAAAGAGACTTTTCCATTTGATTACATTTTGTATGATGATTATGTAGAAAAAGTAGAATTGGGCTGAAAGATCTATCACTTTATCACCTATTCAGGTTGTAAATCGTGTTTTTAAAAAGTAACTAAGTAACTAAGTAATTAATTACTTTTGAAAATAAGTAATCAGTAAAGTAACTGGATTACTTTTTTGGGGGAAGTAATCAGTAATTAGTTACTGATTACTTTTTTCAAGTAACTTGACCAACACTGGTGACCACTATGGTCACAATCTAGCGTGAAAAATTTGCCAAATCAAAAAAGTAGAGCTACCTGCTGCGGTGAATCAGGCAGCAGCGTTTTCATGGATGTCTCACGTGTTGTTTCATTGTTTCTTTTACATCAACTTAACAATAGGACAGCATTGGCAGAAGTTGATAAGTTTGTTCACTTTTAAATAGGAGGTTAATAAAAACTATTACTAATTTCTTTTTATTGAACATCTTCAGTGTTAACTGTAAATGGAACGACATCATAAAGAGACTATTTTTTCCTTTCCGCTGACATAACAATAACATCGAAGAACAAAACGAGCAGCTGTGGCTCAGGAGAAGGTTGGTGGTTTGATCCCTGGCTCCTCCGGTCTGGATCTATCCATGAAGCAGAATACTGAACCACTGAAGCATTTATCCGAGTGTGAATGTTAGACAAAAGCACTTAGGGACAGAAAAAAGTGCTTGTGTGATGTGTGTGAATAAGCTGAACGAGCCTCATAATAGAAAGTGCTTTGGGGCTTAAATACAGTAGGACAGAGCTATAAGTACTAGGACCAAAATGACACACGGCTACAATGAACTCTGTGTGTAGCAGCCTAGCAAGTGTGTGAAAGTGAAGCTCGTGTGTGCATTTGCTTGTCTTGTTGAGAGATTGGGGGAAGAAAAAAAGTAAAGAATGAAAGAAATAAGGGGGGGGGGGGGGGGGGGGGGATTGCAGTGGCTCCATTCTCTTTTGCTTCTTTTTATTCTGCTGCTGAATTCACCCTCAACCAAAAACACCTCACATTCTGTAATTCCCTCCCCCTGTTTGTGCCTCTCTCTCTCTCCTACTCTGCAGCAGACTACAGCACAGTCAGCTACTATGGGGACTGCAGTCTTACGCTATAGCACAAGCAGAGAGCTGGGGGTGGGGGGTTGAACGAGGTGGGGGAGTGAGAGCATATTGGGTGGAGGGTTGGTGAGAAGGGACTGAATAGCAATAATAAGCAATATAGCACTCATCTCTGATTATGTAGCACAGTAATAAACCACAGTGAGCCGTCAGTGTGATGACACGAGAGAACGAGATCGGAGATGGACGATGTGGATTGTGAAGTAGAAGACAGACAGAAATGGGCAAACCTGGCACCTTTGCAAATATGATACACATACTTAAGGACAGACGCCACAGGACAACAACTCATGCCGTCCTGCTTTTCTTTGTCAAATATTTTTTTGAAACAACGTTTAAACCTTCATCCTGAAACAAGCTAATCGGCTAACAGAAGCTGGACTTTAGCTTACCTGAGCATTGCTGCTGCACTGACCATCTACCTCTCAACCCAATCTTTTGTCCCAGTGCTGGCACCAAAACTATTGACTGCAACACTTTCAAAGTCACTTCCACTGTCACACTGATGCTGTCCTAACTCCCTCAACCATGACATCAGCTTGTCTTTTTTTGTACCATCACCCCTCATTATTCAGTCAGTCGTTTGCTGCCATTTACATTGCAGACCACAGGTCCTCATTCCTGTGATATCTACATATGAACGCAACACTGTGGTTAAGAAAAGATCTTGGTTCGTATAAGGTTTTTGTCTGCACAAACTGGGGTCCCCTGTATAGACACGAGGACCATCTACAGCCAGACTGCCTGCGTTTCTGCATAAAGGGCATTCTGTGTCCTGCACTTGCACTAAAACTTGCAGCATCATTCTATTTGACTGTATATTGTGAGGATACGGGGTTGGAACAAGCCTCTCTGAACTGCAACACTTGCATAAACTGAGTGAGATCCTCTTTGACCTGTACAGCACATACTGATAGAGATGTTCACCTATATCACTGTTGACGCCTGATTGCTGTTTCACATGTGGATACGGTGCTGGGCCACAGCTTGGTTACAGTTTGATTAAATTAATCAAGCAGCTTCTTCTTCTTCTTGTCTTCAGCTTGAGAAAATAACGTCTGAAAATTATTTATTTACTGTAGTAATCTAACAAGTTTTACTTGAGTTTTTCACAAAAACAACACCTGTGGTTTTTACAAATTAAATCTCGAGCCACTTTGGTTTGTGCACTGGTGCATTGCAGCATTTGTCAGAAGCTGATTTGCCTTAATTCTACTAAAAGTTCAGAGTATCAATCATCACAACGCAGCTCTCCTCGAAATGACTGTTGTTGCATTGACTCTATAAAAACCAAGAGAATTCCCTCTGATAGCTTTGCTGACATCTTACAGTTTTCTCTAATCAGCAGAACTTTCAGTAAACTTAAAGTGGGTAAAAAAGCAGCATATTTAAAATACAATACTCTAGATAGTAAAGCCCACTTTATGGTAAATAGCCTGGTTCTTATTCAGCGTCCTTCTAGTCACCACTCTATACAAAACGCATCATTTACCCAAACACTGTCTACATGTAAGTGCTTTCTGCCTCTGATAAATGCACCACCGAGCAGACTGGGCTTCAGTATCTTGCCCAAGAATACTTTGGCGTGCCGACTGGAGCAGCCAGGGATCACACGCTTAACCTTCCAATTAGCATGTGACCTAATCTAGTCCTGAGCTAGTCCAGTTTCTCCTCTGTGCTGAAAAGCAGACCAGCTGCACACAAACATCTTCAAACTGCTTTGGTGCCAGCGAAAAGGTTTAACATAGTCTCACCTTCCACAAAATATTCTCATGCAACCAAGAAGCTCGTGACATATCAAAGCCAGTCCTTTTCACCATGATGTTGTGATGCTGTCAAACAACCGCTGGATCAATCACTGGATTTAAGAACTGCACCAGATTCAACAGGAGGCAGTTTAGATGGAATTTAATTCAAGAATAGTGAAAACTGAAAATGAAGGTGAGCTCCTGTTCTCTCGTGGACCCCGTGGACTCTGTGTCCACACAAACACCAGCTGCAAGTTCAGGTTAGAAGGCCATTTGTTGTTAGTGGTCTCTTTGAGCTCCTCTTTCCTCTCTTCTCCTTCCACCTACTCCCAGCCGCAACTTGGAACAGGAACTGCCCAAAAAGACTCATTGGCTGTCCTCTGCCACCCCCGGAGGCCATCGCCACATCCTCAGGGTCCAGGGCCATCACAGGTGACCCAGTGCACTCCCCCTACCACCTGTTTGACCAGCAGCTCAGGTCAATCAGGTCCCACACCACCAGACTCACTAACAGCTGCTTCCCCTGGGCCATTCAGACTGTTAACAAGCACTATCCCCCACAGCCCACCCCTGCCCACCCACCTCACAACCTGAGCCATGGTCTCAGAAACCTTCATCACTCAGGTCTCTTCTTTTCTCTGGACTTCTTCCAAGCACTTTACAGCTATTTTGTTCTAAACGTGTGCCTCTCTCTTCTTTTTGTGTACGTTCCTCTTCACTGTAAATACTTCTCGTGTTTGTTATTTATTCCTGCTGTCTGCTGTGTATATTTTATTCTGGCACCGCTGGTTTTGTTGCACATGTACAATGACCAAAAAGGGCTATTCTTTTCTATTCTATTCTATTCTATTCTATTCTATTCTATTCTATTTTTGCATTCTGATATTTATCTTTCTATTAAAAGACAGCTCAGTTCTTGCTTGATTGTAAGGGCATACTTTCCTATTTTCTAGGGCCTTTGACTTCTGATTGTGATAAAACTCCTACATATACACAGCATGTTGAGATTACTGTTGCAGGTTGTTGGTGTTATATAGTATAAATCTTCTGACTCATTATAGTCAGGACAGAACATTTGAATCATTCTGAAGTGAGTTCCTGGGAGGCAACAACATTTAGAGACAGACAAAGCAGTTGTGAACAACATTGGAGCAACAGCAGTACCTAAACTAAAGTCTATGTAAACTACATGTGCACATGTACTGAGACAAACCTCTAGGATGAAGTGTGAGGATGCACAGCTGACGTTCCTTTATTACATTTTGATCACTTTACTCATAGAGGTGACCTCTAGACTGTTGAATAATTTTCACAAAGTATGGATTGACAAGACATAGCTATGGAAAAAACATGTGTGATGTACGATAGACATTCAGGATGGATGCACACTTGTGAAACATTTGTGAGATGGATGGGCTGATGCGCACACAGCAGGAGCCACAATCCTCATGCAAAATGATTCATGACAAAGATCAAACGTACACCACTGTGGCTTTTTTTAACCCGCAGAGAACTGAACGTCCTTTAATCCTCCAACAGTATCCGGAGAACATTTACGCGCAACAATGCGCAGTTGCCAAAACAGTGCCAAACGCATGAGTTGCAGAGCGCGCACGAGAAAAGGGGAACACAGATTGAACGTTACACTTGCCACTCACCCGGGCATATTTGGAGGAGTAGGGATCCTCAAACAGTGCCCACATCCAGGGCTGCCACACCTCCCACCGTGTCGCCCTGCGGCCGTCCTCCTGCATGCACAGACGTTTCAGGTCGCCATCCGCTCCGCCGGTGAGTGCAGGGTCGTCCTCGGGTGGATCCGGTTCGGGGGTCTCAAAGCTGTCCAGGGCTTCTTCTGCATCACGGTGCTGTCGGTAATTCATCCAGCAGCACGCCTCCACGTCCGTCTCATCGATGCCCCAGAAGGCGAGCTCTTCCTCGAAGAGCGGCCCGCAGACATCGTTGGGGCAGTGGAGCTTGCCGGTACGGTAGTAGTTGAGGATGAAGGCGAAGGTGGCCGGGTGGCGATCAAAGAAGAACTCGTCGGACTTGGGATCGTAGTCGAAGTTGCTGTAGGCGTCGGGCTCTGTCAGCCAAGACAAGCGCGTCCCCGGCAACGTCTTTAGGGTGCTCCGGTAGGTCTCGTGTCGAATTCCACCGCAGTTGATGACGATCTTCTCGCTATCTGACGCCGAGCAAGTCATGGTGCTGGAGCATCCTTCGGTCGGTACGTCCGACTGCTGCTGCTGCGGCTACTGCCTTTCCCCATCCACCGTCGGTCCCCGATCTGTATGCCTCTGTTATACTGTACCGCCAACAGGGAGACACGGTGCCAAGTGAGAGAAGGGAAGGAAGGAGGAGTCAGCCTCTCTGCCTCTCTGAGAGAGAGAGGGGGGATCTGCAGGCGCGTGTATATGTACGAAAGAGAGAATGTGTGGGATGCGGATTTTATGAATCAATAGGTTTCCCCGCTGATTGACTGCCTGCCTGCGCGATTGATTTACTGAGTTCGCGTGATTCAAATCCTTTGGCGATGTTGAATTCGCGACCTCCACATGAATACATTTGCTCTTATTCTCATCCTGTGGGTCTCTGCAGCCTGTACTTGTGCAGAGAAATCCGATGTGTTGAACTAAGCAGAGCGAGAGCATGCACGTGATCATTTGCTTCGTTTTTTTCCTTCTGAAACACTGATGCGCATCTATTAGCATCTCTGCATGCCTGCTGAAACAAACCGTATTCAGGAATTTCATTTATTTCGTAGGTTTCGCTTTCCTGGTGTCCAACTTTCCACCACATACTTAAAACTGGCTGCAGGAGAATGCACTCTGCTATGAGAGCCAGTAACATTAGTGGCTCTGAATCATTGTTTTCTCTCTCATTTACAGTTCTGACTTAGAGGAGGTGGTAAACCTCACTCTGGCTGATGGATCACAAACCATATATTTTAAAAATAAAAAAAAAACCTTGTGTGTTTCTCTTATTTTGGGGTTTTCCTTATTTGGAATTCTCAGCCAGGAAAATCTGAGCATCAGCCTCTTCCATACCTGAAAATCTGTTGTATTTCTATGCAGTAGTTTATATGTTTTCTGCATCCATTCACAGTAAAAGTATGTATTCATGTACAGTAAATGAAAACATGTATTGGAATATAACCCAGTTAGGATCGATGCCATTCTTTCCCACTTTGAAATAATTATTCTCAGTGGATTTAATTCAATATTGTCCCTGCCAAGTCACACATGAAGAGTAGATGATATGAATTCAGGCTGCTTTTGTCTCCTTTGTTTGTGAAGTAACCTAATTAAATTTGTACCAGTCACTTTTTGTCAGTTTAATAGCCCGCGTGGGTTTCAAAGGTTTGTAATGTTTACAACATTCTGAATATTCACATGTTACCAGTTTCTTTGCAATGATGAATGAATATCCAGAGACTGCATATAAAACGGAGCCTTCTGTTCCTCGTGTCAGGTTTCAGTATTGGGGTAGATCACCAATCCATCACAGAGCGTATACACAGACAATCATTCACTCTCACATTTACAGCTATGGGCAGTTTGGAATCGCTGGTTGCCCTAACCCCACTGACTGCACGTCTTTGGACTGTGGGAGGAAGCCGGATTATCTGGAGAGAACATGCAAGCGCCACACAGAAAGGCCCAAGCAGGGTGGTGGAGACAAGCTCAGGACCTTGTTGCAGTGAGGCAACAGTGCTAACCACTGCACCACCATGCTCACCATTCCCAATGGACATAACTTCCAACTGTGAAAAGTAAAGCCAATGCTAAAGTGTCCTAACACTGAATTCTTTCTGATGGCCAGCAGGAGGTGACTCTTCTGGTGTCAAAGACACGTGGTTGATTAGAAACCACATGTTTCCTTTATCTATGACCTTAGGAAACACTTTGCTGATGATTTTGTGGGGGTAAAATGGGTATTCCTCTTCACATAAAAACTTAACTAATAACTTGTAACTGATCATATCCAGT